ATACAAAATAAATGGGTCTAAATGCGTTCTCTGGCCTTCCAAAAGTTATACCACGGCAATATGATGGTCGAGTTCTGCTTGCAATGTCCAGCTTTGACCACTGAAATTTCGGGGAAGCTCCGCGTAAATTTAGCGCAGATCTATTTATATATGTCACGTGGTTGTTTCGAAAGTGAGGCAGTGAAGATAACACCAATAGCACGCTGTCTATCAGCCATGTCGGACTCAACTAGCGGACAAGACAGCTATACTATACGTAAATAATTGTTTTCAAAGGTAATTTATGATGCAAGTGTAGTATTCCTACCTATACATGTATGTTGTTGTTATATATAACGGTATTGATACCTCGTGCCTGTCATGACTTTTGCATGCATCTTTTTCTTTCGCCGCGATGTTTACATTTGGTCTTGTTGATGCCGCGCATGCGGTAAAATTACATCACTGATCTGGGTCAATTGAGAGTTTTAGACTGTCAGGTGACGATTTAGGATTTCTTTAATATAATTATAATTTTTACTCTTAGGGAGTGAATTTCAGCAAAATTTGAATCGGTATGTTTCATAAGAAGGTATTTTAAACATGTGTATGCCATTTTAGCAAATATGACATCTTTCCCCCGACCAGCCCCTTTAATAAGCGTGTGACATGTCCCTGTAGCCCACATCTAATTATAGGTATCAGGTATACACCTCCCATACATCAGGTTTACACCACCCATACGTCAGGTTTACACCACCCATACATCAGGTTTACACCTTCTTTACATCAGGTTTATACCACCCATACATCAGGTTTACACCTTCTTTACATCAGGTAACGCCTTTTATTCATCAGGTATCACCTCCTTTACATCAGGTATACACCTCCCATACATCAGGTAAATACACCACCTATACATCAGGTTTACACCTCCTTTACATCAGGGATACACCTCCCATACATCAGGGCATTTTAGATCGCTTTTCTCTGTAGGAAAGTTATTATTATTCCTCATCTATATAAGAGTTGTCTTATTGGTTGTTTAGATTACCTCTTTCCATACAAGAAATATGAGCTTGGGGATCTCAACAATGTCCATGCTATGACCCAGGGAGGAAGTCCTCAGGGATGGGTTGCGCTCTATTAAGGACTTGATAGCATGAGCCCATCTTATGCCATGCCCTTCTAGGTTGTAGAAACTTGACTGATACAAAATATGGTCACCTTATTGCCTCAGCCATTTTTATCTTATATTGTAACAATTTATATGGTTACAGGTCCTTCTAGAAAGTAGTCTTTTACAAGTTAAAATTTGCCAATTTCCCCTTATTAACACCGCCCCTCTACCCTAAGGTGGCCACATCCTTTCATAATATAAAAGGTCAAAAATATATTGTTTTGTGCCTACCCAAAACTTTTTTGCCAATTTTCAAAGGAAGAAGTGTTCAAGTCAAGATTACTCTCCTTTCTATGTACAGGCTAAATAAAAATAAATGAAAAATTGAATTATTACCTATCTATACCTATCCGTATTTTTTTCAAACATTTAACGGAAAACAAACATCTTTTGTTTATATAGAGGATATGTGATGACTTTTTATGAGGTAAATCAAATAGTGTTAGTTTATATGCAGTATATTATCAACAAGTTTCAGCAATTAGATGATATATAACTGAAAATAGTCATGAGAGATACTTCATACATAGCTTATTAAAGAAATACCTAATATAGTGTACAGAAAATGTAAATATAGGATTATGTATACACATTATATAAAGGTACTATATACAGAATATATGAAGTACGGATATATTTCATTCGTTATAAACTCTGTACACAACTCTCTATATGCTCTGTTTAACACTCTCTATATCACTCTGTTTACTACTCTCTGAATACTATGTATATGACTTTCTATATACTCTGTATTTTATGATGTCTCTGTGTACTCTGCATATCACTATATACTCTGTATTATGTGATGCCTGTGTACTCTGTATACCACTCTTTATATTCTCTGTATACTATGTATACCACTCCTAAAATAGCCTGTATACCACTCGATATACACTGTATATCACTCCTCATATACTCTGTATACAACTCCTCATATATTATATATACCACTCTTTTATTCAACGTATACCACTCAATATATACATTATAACACACTTTTATACTATATTTACCACTCCTGATATATTCCGTATACCACTAACTATATACTCTGTATATAACTCACTATTTACTCTGTAAACCACTCTCAATATGCTCTGTATATCACTCTCTATAATATGTATACCACTCTTTACAAACCTCTGTATATCACTCTCTATATATACCCTGTATACCACTACTTATACCCCTGTATACCACTCTCAATATACTCTGTACACCACTTCATAGATACTGTGCATTCTAATCCTTGTATACCACTCTCGTGATATACTGTGTACCACTCTCTTTACTCTGTATTCCACTCTATGTATTTTCTGTATACCACTCTCTATGTGCCATGTATACTACTATTTATAATCTGTATACATTCCTATGTAAAGACATTTCAATTATCTTTTAAAATAAACAGGAGACAGGGTTAGGGCCTGTCTATGGGGCAAATCCTGATAACATAAGTGTATCCAAATCGTCATGTTCAGCAATTATACATGTATTAAACATAAACATATATAGAATACCACAGACAGATTAAACACATGTATTCAGTATTATTGACAGCTATTAAACTTGTATTTACTATCACACACAGGTATAACATATGCAATTGCTACAATAGACATGTGTAACACATGTATATACTGTCGCAGACAGGTATTACACACGTATATACTACCACAGCTAGGTATTACACACGTGTGTACTACCGCATACTGGTATAACACATGTATATACTAACACAGACAGGTATTACACATGTATATACTATCACAGACAGCTAGGTATTACACATGTATATACTACCACAGACAGGTATTACACATGTATATACTATAACAAACATGTATTACACATGTATATACTATCACACACAGGTATATTACACATGTATACCATCACAGACCGGTATTACACATGTATATAATACCACAGAGAGGTATTAAACATGTATATAATACCACAGAGAGGTATTACACATGTATATACTACCACAGACCGGTATTACACATGTATATACTACCACAGACCGGTATTACACATGTATATAATACCACAGAGAGGTATTACACATGTTTATTTATACATTTAAAAATAATTGTCCATTACATGTACCCTATACATGTTTTGTACATACATTTATGTATACATGTATCACTATTGATAGTAAGACAGATAATGATAATTGATTGCTTATCACTGTATATATGGACAGGTATTCTGACACAATTGCAACACTATTTAAATAGATGAAATATAGTGATACATGTTACATTATTAACAGAAAATGGTATATGTATGATTTTAATTTCAATGAGAGGGTGAATATATCTCAGGGCTTCAACTACAGTATATACTTAATAGCGCTTTACCTGGAATTGAGAATTATACACATTTTTAATGTCTTGCTACATGAATTATGTTGTTAAACAAATAGGTTTATATCATATATATATCCTAGACCTAATAGTATTGCTAAATGTGCATCAAACAAATACTATGCTGAGACCGATGGATCATGATGTGGAATTACTTTGAAAAGAACCCGAGGAGTTCCTTGAGTTAGCCTCAATGTTGTTTTTTTCAGTTTCTATTATTTTGACAGGCTGACAGGTAGGTTATAATTCTGATTGGGTAACTATGTTTTACCATGAATTCATGTATTTTTACTTATAAAGTTTATGATGTTACCATGCATGTATCTGGCTTGTGCCTTTTTGGTCACACAAAGATGAATCTACACAACTAGAACCAATCTGATGATGAAATGTGTATAACTTGTCTATAATACATGTGATATAACTTTTTTTCTGTGATAGTAACTATATATGTATGTAAACAGTCTGAAACAATTAATAAAAGTTCCTCATAATGTATGTGAAAGTTAAGATAATTATAAGTTTATAACCAGTCTGAAGCAATCAATAATTTTTTCTTACATGTCTGTGATAGTTAACACAAGTTTATGACTAGCCTGAAACAATAATTAAAAATCGATAACCTTACTTGTGATAGTAATACAAGTTTTATAGCCAGTCTGAAACAAGTGATAATTTTCCTAACATGTCGGTGATAATAAATATAATTAAATCCACATGTATAATCATGCAGTTTTAAACAATGTTATTTTTCTGTTACCTGTCTTTGAACGTTAACACAAATTTATAACCAGTCTGAAGCAATGATTAAAAATTCATAACCTGTCTGTAATTCCGTCTTTGCGTATTGCAGAGTTATCCTCTCTTGGGAGCAGGTATTGATTGTTACGTCATTGGTTTGTGTGAGAAAATTACGTCGTTTTGTCAAAAATTGACGACGTTACTCTCACAAACAAGTGACATAACAATCAATACCTGCTTCCAAGAGAAGATAACTTTGCAATACGAAAAGACGGAATAGTAAATACAGGTGTAATCATTGACACTGAAGATGGGTCTGAAACAACGTTAATACATATGTACATGCAATGCTCATGATCTGTACAGTAAGTACTTGTGTATTACCAATCTGAAACAATAAATAAATGTCCATCACCTAAAGTCAATTTGTTATTTTAAATTCTTGTGAATTGCATGTGTAATAATTGTGAAAATTGATGTAATATGTCTGCGATAATATAAACATTTAATCCACATAAATTTATTGTTAAAAAGAGTTTCCATAAGTAATTTTACAAACATTGTTTTAAGTGTCTGAATCCAGGAATCCGCTTTCAAAGGCTTCTGATCGTTTTTGTAGGTGTAGTAATTCAATTTAATAAAATTACTGAAAATAAAAGAAAATCAGGGAAGATAATACAGATCTAAACATTTTAATGACTAAACAATAAGTTATACATGCAGGAATTATTTTCCTTCCGTTGTGAAATACATATTTATAACCCCTTCTCCACCACTTACGCCTATATACCTCCTATTTCTTTTTAAAATAATGTAAATCCCGCTACAACTAGTCGTATGTTTGTTGACACTGAACTTCTACTTTCACTTTCACATACTTCATTTCCGGTTAAAAAATACGCAACTCTGCGGCTACCGATTAACTGCTATACCGTGCACAGCTGCCGTTTGCCGGACTCGTTGATGTGACTCCTCAGTTCCGGATGTTATTTTGATGTCTGTCTCCTCAGTTCCGATGTTTTGTTGTTGTTGGTCTCCTCATTTCCGGATATTTTGTTGTTGTTTGTCTCCTCAGTTCCGAAAGTTATGTTGTTGTGTCTCCTCAGTTCCGAATGTTATGTTGCTGTGACTCCTCAGTTCCGGATGTTATGTTGTTGTGTCTTCTCAGTTCCGAATGTTATGTTGTTGTGACTCCTCAGTTCCGGATTTTTCGTTGTTGTCTGTCTCCTCAGTTTCGAATGTTTTGTTGTTGTTGGTCTCCTCAGTTCCAGATGTTTTGTTGTTGTGACTCCTCAGTTCCGGATGTTATGTTGTTGTGACTCCTCAGTTCCGGATGTTATGTTGTTGTGACTCCTCAGTTCCGGATGTTTTGTTGCTGCTGGTCTCCTCAGGTCCGGATGTTTTGTTGTTGGTCTCCTCAGTTCCAGATGTTTTGTTGTTGTTGGTCTCCTCAGTTCCGAATGTTTTGTTGTTGTGACTCCTCAGTTCCGGATGTTATGTTGTTGTTTGTCTCCTCAGTTCCGGATGTTTTGTTGTTGTTTGTCTCCTCAGTTCCAGATGTTTTGATGTGGTTTGTCTCCTCAGTTCCGGATGTTTTGTTGTTGTGACTCCTCAGTTCCGGATGTTTTGTTGTTGTGACTCCTCAGTTCCGGATGTTTTGTTATTGTCTGTCTCCTCAGTTTCGAATGTTTTGTTGTTGTTTGACTCCTCAGTTCCGAATGTTTTGTTGTTGTATCTCCTCAGTTCCGAATGTTATGTTGCTGTGACTCCTCAGTTCCGGATGTTTTGTTGTTGTGACTCCTCAGTTCCGGATGCTATGTTTTTGTCTGTCTCCTCAGTTTCGAATGTTTTGTTGTTGTTTGTCTCCTCAGTTCCGGATGTTTTGTTGTTGTGACTCCTCAGTTCCGGATGCTATGTTTTTGTCTGTCTCCTCAGTTTCGAATGTTTTGTTGGTGTTGGTCTCCTCAGTTCCGGAGTGTTGTTGTTGTTTGTCTCCTCAGTTCCGGATGTTATGTTGTTGTTTGTCTCCTCAGTTCCGGATGTTTTGTTGTTGTTTGTCTCCTCAGTTCCGGATGTTTTGTTGCTGCTGCTCTCCTCAGTTTCGAATGTTTTGTTGTTGTTGGTCTCCTCAGTTCCGGAGTATTGTTGTTGTTGGTCTCCTCAGTTCCGGAGTGTTGTTGTTGTTTGTCTCCTCAGTTTCGGATGTTATGTTGTTGTTTGTCTCCTCAGTTCCGGATGTTTTGTTTATGTTTGTCTCCTCAGTTCCGGATGTTTTGTTGCTGCTGGTCTCCTCAGTTCCGGATGTTTTGTTGTTGTTGGTCTCCTCAGTTCCGGATGTTTTTTTGTTATTTGTTATCTCAGTTCTGGATGTTTTGTTGCTGCTGGTCTCCTCAGTTCCGGATGTTTTGTTGTTGTTGGTCTCCTCAGTTCCAGATGTTTTTTTGTTATTTGTTATCTCAGTTCCGGATGTTTTGTTGTTGTTGGTCTCCTCAGTTCCGGATAATTTGTTGCTGCTGGTCTCCTCAGTTCCGGATGTTTTGTTGCTGCTGCTCTCCTCAGTTCCGGATGTTTTGTTGCTGCTGGTCTCCTCAGTTCCTGATGTTTTGTTGCTGCTTTTCTCCTCAGTTCCGGATGTCTTGTTGTTGTTGGTCTCTTCAGTTCCGGATGTTTTATTGTTGTTGGTCTCCTCAGACTCGTTGATGTGACTCCTAAGTTCCGGATGTTATTTTCATGTCTGTCTCCTCAGTTTCGAATGTTTTGTTGTTGTTTGACTCCTCAGTTCCGAATGTTTTGTTGTTGTTTGACTCCTCAGTTCCGAATGTTTTGTTGTTGTTTGTCTCCCCAGTTCCGGATGTTTTGTTGCTTCTGGTCTCCTCAGTTCCGAAAGATATGTTGTTGTGTCTCCTCAGTTCCGATGTTTTGTTGTTGTTGGTCTCCTCAGTTCCGGATGTTTTGTTGCTGCTGCTCTCTCCAGTTTCGGATGTCATTCCTGCTTTAAAATTTAAATCGTTTGTCACTCTTGCAGCAGACCATTGCATGATATGAAAAGACAGCGTTGGAACCCTTTGTGCTTGTACATTGTAGGTACAGCCCTCCTAGAAATATGCGTATGCTTGGTATTTACTGTTACTTTCTTATATTAGGTTCATATAATATACAAAATAGAACTTTTTTCAAATGATTTATTCATCCAAAACGTTTAAATAACTGACTTTTTTTTTATTAAAGTGGCTCCGAATGTGACGCTGAACGCTGTTGTGATCCCGGGACTAAACGCGACTTCCGGGGAAGCATTCGGACAACCTGTGATAATTAAGGAGATACAATTCCAGTGTAATATCGAGGATAGCAGTGACGAAGATCTTACTGCCTACGTCTATGATGTACAGTGGTATATAAACGATAACAGCATTGTGACACACAGGAACATACCTTACGCCAATATAACAGAATCGGCGTTAAGGCAGTCACAATGGATTAACACATTCACGCTCGGATTTCTGGTAAATGAGTTTACAATTTTAATTATATTCATATAATTTATCAAACTCAAATGTATTTTAATGGGTTTGTTATTACTCATCGAGTTGACTGTTTACAATATGTGTTATTCAAATGGAAGTTTGAATTATATCAAACTGTTGTTATTCAGATGGAAGTTTAAACTATATCAAACTGTTGTTATTCAGATGGAAGTTTGAACTATATCAAACTGTTGCTATTCAGATGAAAGTGTGAACTGTATCAAACTGTTGGTATTCAGATGGAAGTGTGAACTGTATCAAACTGTTGCTATTCAGATGAAAGTGTGAACTGTATCAAACTGTTGGTATTCAGATGGAAGTGTGAACTGTATCAAACTGTTGTTATTCAGATGAAAGTGTGAACTGTATCAAACTGTTGGTATTCAGATGGAAGTGTGAACTGCATCAAACTGTTGGTATTCAGATGGAAGTTTGAACTATATCAAACTGTTGCTATTCAGATGGAAGTTTGAACTATATAAAACTGCTGTTATTCAGATCATTATAGCGTTATGTACTTAGCATGGTTATCATAAGATTAATTTTTCAATTTATCTCACATGCTCTTTTAACAATCATTAAAACTCATTTTGGAATTTTGTTAAAAAGACATTTTATATTGAAAAGACAATTTGAATACACCGGTTCACGATTTTTTATCAGAAAAAATGAGGACAGATAGTGTTTCTTTAGTTTGCAAGGAATGATACCAGCTAAGCATTATATGTCATATTCATGTACACAGGTGAAGTGCGCAGTACGTGTCCGGGATGTGCCAGATGGTCCGCCGACCCCGTACAGCTACAGCAGTGCTTTTTATGCAGGCTTTACAGTAAGCTTCCGTTAATAATCGGAATTATTTATGTGGTGTTTGTGTTAACCTTTTGTTCAAAATTTGTATTGATATGAAAAGAAGATCACTAAAGTTTTAATAATTCTTTTAATCTATTTCCTTAGCTCACACATATCCTGTTTATATGTAATGTGTAAGTGTAAGCAATCCACTGCCGTAATTAAACATGTTATTTTATTTGTTATATTCTGTAGACTGACGCTTCCCAGTATACCGTTTTGGAAAGTGGCAGTATTAACGTGACGGTCAGACTGACAATTCCAATCGACTGTATGTATCCGGCAACATCTACTCCTGCTGAGTACGTATCGCTTTTACCTCTTTTTAATCTTATTGTTTTTCTTTTGCATCTCGTTGAACCTTGTATTGACTATATTGATTTGTAAAGGGGTTCACTAAAGGTCCATTTTATCGTGATATCTAACCGAAATGTCACAGAAAAATCCTTCCCCTCTAACCGGTTACATAACAACCAACGATGTAAGAGATCCAACGGCAACCAGAAGTACAAAGGAGGCATCATCATCTGATTAGTTCAAGACTACATGTAGTAGAAGGACACATAACGCAGAGCCCACGCATATGGCTTCGTGTAATAATTCCGTGGTTCAACGTAGGCAAAATTCTTTTCCTATAATTTACATACATATTTATATGATCATCATTGATTGTTAATGCCAAGTACGCAGAACCGCTTAAATTAACTGAAAGTTGTTTTCACTTATCAAAGAAATATTAACAATTATAGTTGGCCAGCAAGGGCAATTTAGCTATTTTATATCCTAATTCTTAACCCTTCTGCATGTCGTAATCAATCTCTGTAGTTAGAAAGTTTTACAAAGTACAACATCAGTCATTCAGAGTGTAATACTGTCATATCAACTCAACTAGTTAAGACGTTTAACTTAGTAACACAAACAAATCTTGGGACAGGAGAGAGGTAAACCAAAATTGGGGAAAATTTGCAAAAAAATGCATTACGTTTCAGGAACATATTGTGAACTGATTGCTGATATGCAGAAGAAAGCACAAGGCTATCTGAGCATCTTGCTGTTTTCCTCATCCTCTATCGCCGTTTTGTTCTTCAGTTATGTTAGTCGTTTTGGTTAATAAATATCTGGAATGTTTGGGATATGAGGAAGAGAGAGAGTTTTCTAAGTGGTACTTTCAATGTCTCTTTATTATATAGCAACATTTTCTGTCCAGAATTGCAGACTTTGAGGAAAATCACTGTAGTCTCACGATTCGTGTACGAACGCCAACTTACTATGAAGATGGTCACCTCAAGTGTACAGCAAGTGGAGTCACAGACGATCCTGTAACCTTTCAGAATGAAGGCTGCGGGATAGTGTTTCCCTTTCATGATTGGAATATACCCAGAACCTTACAAGTATTCGGTGCTGCTGACAATACCGTCAATACAATGGACAGCAGATCAAGTTATATACGTTTTCGTGCAGACAACGGCATCCTCAACCCAGCCTGGGGCTTTGCAACTAAGCCAGACATCCAGGTAATAATGGTTGTAGGTTAAATTTACTAAATATGTTTATGAATACAAAGCAAGAAGTTCAATATTTCGTATTAAATATGATAGAAAGTGACGATTTTATTTTCGAAAGTGCAATCAAAACAGCTCGATTTTCCCCGCGAGTAATGATGTTTTAAGAAATAGGTTTTACCCGATTGACCATTAACAACAATTTTGTGTTAATGTATTCTCTGTTTCTTGATAAAAGAGCGTACTGATTCGAACATTTGACAACCTCATATTATCTTTACTGTTGAAATTGATTCCTTGCTCAGTATATATATATATATGTGTTTCAACTCATTCAGTGTTAATGACTTGAATGTAAAAAGCTTGACTATATTCGATGATGTCATAACAAAATAGAAAAACAAATAAGGACGTTTTCTTCACGTCTTTTTCATTGATTGGTGTGCTACATATATTTATGCATTTTTTTCTGTTTAGATTGTTGTTGAAGACCAGGATAAACTTATAGCAGGAAAAACATGCACAACCAGGACTGATCCTCATATATGGACTTTCGATGGAAGGTATACATGGTGGCTACCTAAGCAATAAATACCCCATTTATTACTTTTACCAAAGATTAAGAATATTAAATTGAAGAAACGTTATATATAACTCTATGATATCAGGCGTTTACTCAAAAGACGATAAAATTTGATGTTGAGGTATGATTTAGCTTTTTATCCTTGGTACAGCAATTACTAGAAATAAGAACATAAAAAGCCCCTACTTTCAATTCGGTTTGTTGATGCAGAAACAAAGTAAACATGTCACTGCACTGTATGACCATTTCTTCGTTAAAAACTCAAAATGTGTACTTAAGTAAACAAATGACATTTTTTTTTTTTAAATTGTAAGTGCTCCGAAAGTTATTGAACCATTTATACTAACCAACTAAAAAGTCATTCTTTTTCCAAACCTTCGGGCTTAGCCCTTCGTCAGGGATTAAATGCTAACTTATTTAAAGGTAACGATTAAACAATATATTACGTTATAACAATGCTAAAAATATAATGTGTTAATCAGAGTTAAACCCTAACCCTAACAAAATGTATTCATGGCATGTATATTAATAATAAGTAAATATTTAGGGTATATTAATGCTTATTTATATTCTGATTGTAGATACATGTCCTTTCAACAGTTTGGGGAGTTCATTCTTTTCAAGCATGATACGTTGCCTATACAGGTATGTGTCATGGATACAGCATGATGTTAGTTTATTGTAATGTAATTTTGTCAACACGTTTAATTGTTAACCAGTTGTAAAAAAGTGCAACCGAATATTTGAAACATAAACTGTACATATACGGGTATGAATATGTATACTCGCCAACTCAAACACACCAATCTGTATTTTGGTTATGGATAATCCAACACACGAAGCTATACTTTGTGACTGACATTTCAAAACAGCAATCTGTGCTTTGTTTATGAATATTTTAACACAAAAATCTGTATTGTGTTAATTAATAATTCAAGCACACCAATCTGTATTTTATATATTAATGTTCAAGCACCTCACTCTGTAAGTTATATATTAATTTTTCAGCTCACCATTCTGTACTTTATATATTAATAATTAAGCACACCAGCCTGTACTTTATATATTAATAATTCAGCACACCATTCTGTACTTTATATATTAATTATTCAGCAAACCAGTCTGTACTTTATATATTAATAATTAAGCACACCAGTCTGTACTTTATATATTAATAATTCAGCACACCATTCTGTAAGTTATATATTAATCATCCAGCACACCAGTCTGTACTTCATATATAAATAATTCAGCACACAAGTCTGTAAGTTATATATATATCATTCAGCACACCAGTCTGTAAGTTATATATTTATCATCCAGCAAACCAGTCTGTACTTTATATATTAATAATTCAGCACACCATTCTGTATTTTATATATTAATAATTCAGCACACCATTCTGTAAGTTATATATTAATAATCCAGCAAACCATTCTGTATTTTATATATTAATAATTCAGCACATCATTCTGTACTTTATATATTAATAATCCAGCAAACCATTCTGTATCTTATGTATTAATCATCCAGCACACCATTCTGTACTTTATATATTAATAATCCAGCAAACCATTCTGTATCTTATGTATTAATCATCCAGCACACCATTCTGTACTTTATATATTAATAATTCAGCTCACCATTCTGTACTTTGTATATTAATAATCAAGCAAACCATTCTGTACTTTATATATTAATAATTCAGCACACCAATCTGTATTTTATATATTAATCATCCAGCACACCATTCTGTACTTTATATATTAATAATTCAGCACACCATTCTGTACTTTATATATTAATAATCCAGCAAACCATTCTGTAAGTTATATATTAATAATCCAGCACCCTAGTCTGTAAGTTATATATTAATAATCTAGCACACCATTCTGTAAGTTCAACTGTTTCTCCCTTTGTATTTGACCATTTTATTTTATGACCTCTCTCAGAATAGTACTTTTTCTCTTTCTAGCATTTTTTAGTTTCTCCAGTCTATTGAATGGTTTTGTGCTTGCATGATTTCTAAAAACGTATTAAGCTGTTCCCCTGGTTTGGTTATTGTCAGTCTGCTGTTTCATATTTTAAATATATGTTTGATGTTCTTAGAGACACGTTGCTAATTTTAGGCCTTGGCGTCGGGATGTGATATTTGCATATTACGCTTGTTAATGCTTCCGACACCCATTAGATGTATAACATGGTAATTGTTCTCTTAGCTTTACATTGTTATAATGTTTTTTTTGTTTCTTGCGACCAGTTCTCACTCTTGATGCAGTAAGGTTCAAAATAGGTAATCCTCATATTTTGCCTATGTTTAGTACAGTTACATGTATGACAAAATGCCTCTAACCAGAGAGCTGATTGAGTCTGTAAGTATATGCCACACTCATTTAAGTGAGTTTTTTCATCACGCATGCATTCCATGTGGACGACGACGACAACACTGGCTGTCAACTGAGGGTACACTGTTTTGTCTCTGAAAGTTAGCAATACTAGTGTATTTGTTTTTTGTTTTATTTCATATCTAGCATAGTCTTATAATTAAACTGTCTGTCATAGCTGTCCTATATTTCATGGTTCAATTTGTATTTATTTCAAGGTGCATGCCGTATTTGACCGTTGTCCAGGAATATGGGGGTCATGTATATGTGGAATTGCAATTAGAAACCAGGATGCTGTTTTTATTATCAACTTGTGCCGAAATATGGTTGGCTCACCCTGGATAAGTGGTTCATCAAATACCAACAGATACATAGAGATGAGAGCCTGTGACGACACTCACATGACAGTCACCTCCAGCGGATCTACGTACTCGGTAAATATTATACATTTTTAATCCATTGTGTAAATATTTACAATTGTATTTGCTCCTGCAGTTCCCAAACACAGAAATTCATAAAAAAATATATAAGGTAACAATCGAATAAAATACCCGTCCAAATTCCTCAGCTTGCATGCTATATTTCCACAGGTAACGCTTCCATCCGGAACATCTATGAAAATAGCCATACGCGGGGTGTCATTTATTTCGTACATCATCATAAAACCTTCTCTAATGGACTGGAAATCATCATCCGGCCTGTGTGGATTTTTAGATGGAATATGGACGAATGATTTCAGACAAAGAGATGGCACGATCACAAACAATTTTGGATTTGATTGGAGGTAATTTCATACAAAAATAAATAAAAGACTAATATTCATTATTTTGATTTAGTGTACATGTATCACTGTTTAGGTAAGTGGTAAAGTATATCACTGTTAATGTCAGTGGTCATCGTTATATGATAAGTTATCATGCTCACCTAATGCGCTCCAGTTCTCTGTCATGTTTGTCTTATTCAGACCTCTGAGCAAGAGACAGATATTGAACTCGGTATGAGTTCCGAGTGAATGAAGCAGACGCCAAAAATGCTGAAATCTGATCATTAAAACTGTGGTGTTGTTTTTCCATTTCGGTGTACAATCTATTTATTGTCCTTCCGGTAAGCAAACACGATTATGTGTTTTCTCTTTTCTCGGAATTTTGGAGAGATGTTTCCCTATCATAAAGGCATAAATGTAAAGTATATCTCTTTTAATATCAGGAGTCAAAGTATGTCAATGCAAATATTATTTAAAGTGTAATACTAGGTAGAATATATCAATGTAAATGAAATTTTGAACCATGCGAATTGATTTTTTATGTTTCAGGCTAAATCCTGCTTTGGATGGAAACTCCCTCTTCGCTGTTTCGGAACCACTTACAGACATTCCGTTACCGCCATTACAGTATTGTAGATGTTCAGTTGACTCCGACAATCCGCAGGCCTTCAGTTCCCAAGTACTGTGTAACATCACTTCAACCATAACGGCATGTACTCGACGAACTAGCTCAGCAGGATATGTTCAGGAATGCGACAAAGCTCGTGCAAGGCGGGACACTCGTGCCTATTCTTATCGATACCGAAGATCTACAGAGGAAGAAGGGTTTGATATTGCTAAATTTGACGTTATCCTTGATGAACAATATGCAAACATTGTTCAAGTACGTAATGTTTTCAATTCTTAATTTATTGAAATTAACCGTAATGATACTTTATAGTTTTCATGTTGTTCAGATAACGAAATAGCTTTATGATGCAGTTTAAGTCAGGTTATGGCATATTACAACAAATACGATTACTCGATATTTATGAGTTCACAGTTATAACAATAGGGATGCTAACAAAGATATGACATGCTTCAAGGAAAGGGTTAAAGGGACATCACGGTGAAGCATATTTTTTTCATTTCTTTTTTCAAACACTACATAAACATATCAGGTGAGTCTCCTTATGGATAAAAACGGTCGGATTTGGCTGATACATATTCATAAAAATGAATCATTTTAAGATGATTATCGGGGTTTCCATCTGTTTGACCAACGGTTGCGCATAGCACGCCATTTCATTGTAAACAAAATGACTGGCCGTGGGGAGTGAACCGTTATCGCGTCAACAACGAAGCGAAGAGTTGCCAAATGGTCCAAATATAACGCAAGGAGTACGTTACAGAAGCACTATCGTAGGTGGGAAGTATCAAAAGGAGAAAATAACTCCCATAACAGTTAGCACGGTGCATATGTTCTTCCGGATAGCCGGCATAAAGTTAATAAAGCTTAAATGGAATCAACAGCAATGTTATTTATGTTATGACTTATAAATATTTTAACATATTTACCTCGCTAGTACCGTTGTCTAAGTTGGAGAAAATCTAGTGGTAGGACGCCGGGCTCGTAACCGAAGGGTTGCGGGTTCGCTTCACAGCACGGCACTGTGTTGTATCTGTTCCAGTCTACTCGGCTGTAAATAAGTACGTGGTTGGGCAGTGCTGGCATTGTAGAATGCTAGCTGTGAGCGCCGAACTGGCAGCACCGGCTGTATGCTCCCCATGGAGGTGAGAAAGGTATTGGCTGGTTGCAAAGGCCACGGATAATAATTTGTGAACCGCTTTGAGACGATCTACCAACTAGGTCGTGATAAAACGGTATAAACGAACCTCGAATTATTATTATTAATTATTATTATGTATCGGAGAGAGTTAACTTTGCGTGTCTGTAACAGTAGTTCATGCGAAAGGCTGGGAAATAAGTGACTGGTTAGTTTGATTTTGATATGGGGCCCTCCAGAAGATAACTGTTGTGATGTTGTACAGTACGCCGTTCTCTCCTCTGTCGGTACTCGGGGTCACATGCGATATGTGCGCTATTAAATTTACATAATTTATAATATTCCCGGGTCCACTAAAATGGTATTATTTATTTATATTGCTGAAGTAAACGATTTTTTTATTCGCATGCAAGATTTAAATATTTCAAAATGACGGTTCAGGATGAATAACTGAGGAAGAAGAACCTACTTAGTAAATAGGATCGCATAACAAAAATACTGTTTAAATCGTACTGCTTCAACAGTTCATGTTTTTGCATGATTATTGGCTTAGAATTTATGATCATGCAACAACTTTTGTCTATATATAATTCATTGTACACGTAGTGGTTTTGCAAGAAGTTTTTATTGTGTGTGATTACTACTATGACTTACTAAGTGTTAACGTACACTGAAAGTGGGAAAGAGACTATACATGGATATGTATAATGCATGGTCTAGAAAAATGAGGCTAAAGACATCGATTTGTAATAAAGAAAATCACAAACGTTTCTCTTTTTTATACTTGTCAATGCATATATACACTTCATGAAAACATTTAAAAAGGGATATTCGTCTCGTACATATTTCTTTTTATAGAACGGTTGGTCACATGGTTAAGGAAATGTGTTTTGCCCCGTACTCAATTGTACTGATCACATACCGGTAATAGACATGTCCTGATGTCTATAAATAATGCCGAGATGCCAACAAATATTTCTTCATTAGAAATTTTGAATATTGGCATGTGTGCAATTAACTGTCGATGACGAATAATTACAGCGAAGGGGTTCAATAAGTTACAAAATGGACCAAGAAATCATATTCCTTGGTTACATAGTGCGGTATGAAGTTATAATTGACTGTCGGTCCCTCTCTCGGTGCCCCTTTGGAAAACTGTGCATCTCGGTCAGACCACCTGTGTTACTTCCTCGTTTCAAAACCGTCACGTGGCGTCATTGGCGCTGTTTTTAACAGGGCTTTCCCGAACAATTCAAGTGGTCAAACTAGGCTCTTCACGTGATTTCACTTTAACAACTTATCAGTGTATGTTCTTTAAATTTTTGTGTTTAGATTATCTTCAAGCAGCCACAGAGTCCTGACTAAAATGTTTTATTCTGTATTATCTGATAATGCCAAACAATTTATCTTATTTTTCGTGTTGTTAGATTTAATAGCAAGAACTGTACATAAACGGGAATCTACTAGCGATTTTCCGTCAGAATGGTTTCAGTAAAAGGTTTACTTTGGTAATGGGAAACAAACCTTTTTCTACTTAAAAAAAATATTTTCTAATTTTGATATCTTGATATGAACCTGTTTAAGAATTACACATGGCAAAATGGCTGGACGGAATCTCTAGCGGAACAGTCGTGTCGGGAAACAATGAATGATGATCCGATGTTGAATAAATGTAAAGGAGTTTTGCCAGGGATGAATGATGCACTCGAAGAAGGAATGAACGATTGCATTAATGATATCAAGGTATTTTTAACAGGCAGTTTAACCATTTTTTTTATACTGATACGAAATATAATCAATTCAGATTAAAAATGAAAATGTGTCTATTAATATGAATGACAAGTTTGACTACTGAGGAACAAAATCACACAAATTGTCTGTACGTTGTTTAGTTTGAGTACACAGACACTTTATATGTTTCACCGAAGTGATGTCTTTTTTTCATTCTTAATTTAGATATCTGGAGGTAGTGAGTTTTTGAAAGCGACGGTAGAGTCATTAAAAAGTAGCTGTCTTGTTGAAGCCAGTCGTTTCGAAAACCTTACAACACAAGGATCTGAAAATAGTAACGGTACGACTTTTCTGGACGAGTTATTGGAGTTAAGTTGTCCAAACGATTGTTCTGAAAACGGAAATTGTACCAATGGTAAGTAAAACCTTAGTGTTATAGAAAACAGCAAAATAAATCTCCTTTGTGTAGAATCTCATATATATGACATTATCTGATGTATGTAAAATTTTATATATTTGACCTATATTTGTATGTTTCTAATATTTGTGTATGCTATTTCTTACATTTGTGACATTATCTGATGTATGTGAAATTTTATATATTTGACCTATATTTGTATGTTTCTAATATTTGTGTATGCTCTTTCTTACATTTGTGACATTATCTGATGTATGTATAATTTAAATATTTGACACTCTCTGTTGTATGCGACATCTTACATTTATGACATTAACTGATGTATGTAGTATCATATACTACATATGTGATATATATATATAACATCTTAAATAATGTAACATATACATGTGCAATTGTAACATAATCTGTTGTTTGTTTACTTTATAAAATTGAAATATAATTAATAAATATTACACTCTATATCTGATAACAAAATCTGATACCCAGTTAATGCGGTTTATTTATTAACATATTTTTTTATTATATCTTTATTTTAAACACTTAACTCATATTGTTAATGTTTATCTCGAGAAATTCATGTCGTTTCATACGTTATTTGTGTCGTTGAAAAAAACGAGAAACACGCGATGTGCATTATTGCTCTTTTCTTATACACATTTTTTTAGGAAAATGTGTATGCTACACTGGTTTCTATGGAGAGGAGTGTGCTCTGGAGCGCGACACAATTCCTGAAATATTGCACGGAGGAATGACTTGTTCAACTGACAAAAAGTCATGCAAAAATTTTGTCATTTCGGGAAGTAACTTTCTGGATGTCAATTTGACTTGCCAGGCTAGACTGATAAAGGTATTCTTTTCTAAATTATCATGCTATCTTATTGTTTCTGAACACTTTATCCCTTTCCATTCCTATAACTAGATCGTCAAGCATATTATCTTTTGGTTTTTAGGCATGAAAACAGAATAGAGTGTTCTCTTTGAAGCAAATCAAGTCTTGTAAAAACATTGAAATACAGGCAAATAATTTTAAAGTAGGGTTTTGTACATCGTGCTTGTGTTACATTTACTCGATAGTTATTGAAAAATATTGATTTAGTTAATACTTAATTGATTAACTGTGACAGTTTACAATACCAGTTCTGTTACTATCATAACCAATGTTTTATTTACCTCACCTGGCACTGAAAATGGTTATCATTCCCAAGAACCTGGAGGATGGGAATTTCATGGTTTCTTTGCATTTAATTTCTTTTTGCTGATTGTTTTTGTTGGCGTTTTCCGTGACGCATAGGACTTTCAACGCAACCCTTGTATGTCGAAGTAATGTTCTTCTATATTTTACTATATTCCACAGTTCTAAAGTACACAATATTAATTAAACAGGTGTATGTTGACCGATGGGAATTCCTTGGTGCACCTATTCTATTTCCTGCGAGATATCTGAACGGTATTAACTGTGTGTGTATCATACCAGACTCTGTCCGGAGACGGCGCGCAGCTGATGATGTTTTTGGAGAAGGATACTTAATAAGTATCTCTAATGACGGAATCAACTTTAGCAACGAGTCGACCATTGTTACCTACGACTCAACTTGCTACGATTGTGACGCAACTAACATATCTTGCACTCAACTGGTTCGTATATTGGTATTTTGTTGGTTCAATTCTATACATGACAAATCATTGCTGAATAACATACATAATTTTATGTTCGTGATGTTTGTAAGATGAGAAATCCCCAAAGTCATGATTTCTAATTAAAGTAAATAATGAGTTCAATGAAATTTCTTCGATAGAAACACCATAATGAATATTTGTAGCAAGTGACGTTATTATCCATGCAAGCAATGCTTGGTGCTTAATTCCGCTCAGAAAGAATAATTTCAGAAAGAAAAACAAATCGTTGCAGTTCACACACATGATATTTCATTAAGTAAACATAAATGATTAAATGATACGTTTGTCTATTTATGTTTTGTGAACACCAGTGTCAAAGAATATTGTTCTTATTCTAACAATTATTCTAATCAATTTCTTCATTTTAGTAATTTGTAGGTTCAATTGTTTTATGCAGGAATCATGTGTTTCGACAACAACTTTAGCTTCCACCGAAGCAGCATCTTCGACGGAACAATCACCTGTTACCGAAATGGATATACAGACATCATCGCCCGATAATGCTGTTACCAAAACAACATCCTTACCCACAGATCACCTAACAACTCTGACTGCAACTGCTTCAGGTTACGAAAGTAGAACTGTGACCATTCAATCGTCCTCAACAAGCACTGATAGTTTCACTGGGACCGTTCAACCGTCTTCAATTACTAATTATAGTGTGACTGAGACCATTCAGCCGTCCCCAACAAGAACTGACATTGGAACGTTGACCATTCAACCGTCGCCAGTAGGCGTTCCAAGCGGAACTGCGACTATTCAGCCGACGTTGACTACAACGACATCAGAATCATTACAAAACAAAAGCAGAGATAAAGGTAAATACATTACGTATTAAATATGGATATAGACCAATCAATTAGGAGAAACACATCTGGCATGCGGTTAATATATTGTCATGCATGTTATTATATCAAAATGTCGGCTTTAGATTATAAAGTCAACAGACGCCTTAATACAAATAATGTCCATGTCCTGCTAGGTAACCGATCACATATCACGTGCATTACTGTATTACTTCACGCTTATCTAGGTAACTAATCACATATCACGTGCATTACAGTATTACTTCACGCTTGTCTAGGTAACCGATCACATATCACGTGCATTACAGTATTACTTCACGCTTATCTTGGTAACCGATCACATATCACGTGCATTACAGTATTACTTAACGCTTATCTAGGTAACCGATCACATATCACGTGCATTACAGTATTACTTCACGCTTATATAAACATGCCAAGGTGACACGTACATTACAATGACAGGAAATAATGGACGTGACTTTTACATGAAGACATGTTTGCAGCAAAAGTCATTTTTGTGCTGTCATTATTAAAAAACTCAATTTCAAAGTGTAACAGTTACTTTAAAACGACAGCTTTGATTTCACAGCATTTTTATAAGCTAAGAAGATGTTTTTTAATACGTTTATAATCTTGTTTCATTGTTGTTTTAATTGTAGAAGATGACTTACCTTTGGCAGCAATGGTAGGGGGTACAGCTGCTGGGATAGTCTTCATTTTAGCAATAACAACATCACTGTTGTGCTGGAAAAGTTCGAAGAGCAAGAAGTATGTATTTGATTTTTGCTGTGTCCTCTTTATTTCATAATCCATCATTTTTAAGGAGAGATATAAAGTATCAACTAAATCCCCTTCCTTAAGGTGGCTCGACACATCGTCATCAGCGTCCATTTTCGTGACGTACTTCCGGAAAAAGTACAGCTCGGACTCAATTATCTTGATCGAAATGTGCATGTACACCGTGTCGTCATTTCCGTTTTGCGTATCGGGTATTCAATATCGTAGTGCAAATTATAGTAACACCTGGGCCGTTTGCGTTTAAACGGTCAAACCGATCGGACCACTGTTGTTCGTTTATTAAATAAGGTAAGACCTAGTTATCTGATGCTGCTTTCAGGCGAGCCTTGAGAAAGCCTTGCAAGTCTTGCATACACATTTGTAGGTCCGCCAGGATTTATACCCGGAATTGTTACATTTATAAACGGTCAAACCGGTTGTTCCGCATAAACGAACAGGCCCCTGGTAAACAATAGTACACGTGCGTGCCGATGATATGTCAACACCCGATATCGAGATTTTACCGGGAAATGTATAATCACACGTACTTCAGGAATAAAGCTTTCCAATTCATTGACATAAACAGACTCACGGGAAGACAGTGACATGAGACCAGACGACCTCAAGAAGGTCATATAGGAAACACATGGAATGCGGACGTACCAACCTCATATGTGCATATCACGTGCTTACACGAGTTCATAAGCTGAGGGAGTTTCGCTCTGTCGATTAAATCGTGTTTACAAATGTAGTCTACTTACTCTGTGAAAATAATGTTTTGTAAAATATCAAGATACCTATGAAATGCATGTGTGAGGGCACGTGAGAACGGCATACCATGCGATAGCCTCTGGTCACATATGTACCTGACATGTAATTATAAATATACCGTGAGTTAGCGGACTGTGGAATGATGTCCAAAGTGTACATGACTGAGGGTAATTTGGTTCCATTAAAGAACAATAAATTGATAATTTTGATATCATATTTTTGATTTATTTCCATCATTTGTTATATGTAAACAGAGACAACTGTCATTGTGTAAATGTCATCCCTCTGCAAAAAGTTCCGATTTTTTTCAAGGAAGATAACTCTCACCCGGATCAAAGTGATTGTAAAATGTAAAATAAATTAATTATAAAGCCATTGTGTATATTTTGTTCAATTTCCCACTCTATATGTATAGATATGTGTGTCCTGTTTGCTTTTAGCTTGTAGATAATCACTTTTATCCGTTCAAATTCAATAAAAAACACTTTGTGTAACATGTGTTACATATTTTGCGATAAATAAAATATTTGTAGGATTAATTATAAATGCTTCTTTTCATTTTTTTATTGTTTTTATTGTTCCGAACAATGCCACGCACAAAAAAAACCGGAAAATATTAAAAGTGGCGAAAATTCAATTTTTTGGTATTTTTTCCAAAAAATTCCCCAAACTATCGGAATGTTTAGATTTTCATAAAATTAACTCTACATAGTTGCATAACCATTATATGAAAATTTCAACGAATTTTGCTGGTTAATTGCGAAAGTGTGGAGCCACCTTAAACACACGCCTATAGCGTTTGCACTCCACTGTTGATCTACTGTTTCGGCTCCGGTCCTTTTATCATCATTTTCTGCTTAGATATGCATCTTTTGACCGTTGAACTATCTATTTAGAAGATACTACTGCTCTAACAATAGAAAACGTTTCTGTTGCTTTTCAGGAGCAAGATAGGCTTGTCCAACGCAGATATGACTGAATGTCCGACCAGGGAGCGATACAAAGCGGAGTCAGATGTTCTGACAAGCCGACCCTCCTCTGCCAGTGGAATCGCATTTCAGTTTGATGACGACAAACTTTACAAGCAAAACTGGGGATGAGTGACCCCCCCCCCCCCCCCCCCCCCCCCTTACATTTTTACACATTTTTAAAACCACTATCAGATATAAAAATCTACCTTTTCACAAAGCTAAATATATACTGATTTGACTCTGTAAAACATCTGTCAACAATTGCAGGGGGGGGTGGGGGTATAGTTTTTGTTGTTTCTTTCTTACTACATTTCTGTACATGTGAGCTCACCTGTATTTTGTTGGTGTTGTGTGACGTGTGTGACGTCGAATGTTTGTTTCAGACAGATGTTCACTACTGCATGTGGATATGTATAGAGAACAGACTTAAGGCCCTGTTAAATGCCAGCTTCTATAGTTACTTTTATATTTACTTTAAAGTAACGTTTTTCTTTGGAAGCAAATCAGGTGTTTGTATATTATCATTCTTATGTGTTTGACTAACTTGGCACGAACGAGGTATCATTATAGTTATTTGTATATATTTTTTATCAAATTGTATATTTCTTATCAATCTAACTGTATAGCTTTTTTTATAAATTTTATGGATCTTTTTGTTACTGAAACCACAGCACATTTCGTTGTTTCATTCTTTTATCGGTGTCGCTATAAATGTATATTTTATGAAATGTATTTGTTTTTTGGTTTTGTTTATCGCACTGAAATAAAACACATCTTACCATAAATGTTGCTGACCAATTTAACCAAGCGCTCGAGAGAGCCGACTAAACTATATCTTGTCTCAAACGTTGTAAGAAAGGCAGTTTAAGGTATGTTGTTTACCAAGATAACTCCGGCAAAGGGCTTGACTTTGTGTTCGTGATTAAAATACGTAAAAAATCTTTTCAGTTTTATATATTTCGTTTTTTGTTTCTTTATGTTAGTGTTGCCAGATTGAAGACATGAGGGAGCTTTTTTGTTTATTTATATATAGGAAGTGTAGTCTACGAAGTAGAATCCTACACATAAAGTGTTTACTGACAGAACTTACAGAGAAACGTTAAACCAGAAACGATTTAAAAAAAAAAGCAAGTTTTTAATCTGAAATGTTGTGTTGCATGTATGTATAACACTCTTAAAATAAATATAGGTATATACGAATAAAAAACCCGTTTATGTCCCTTATATAACGTTATACTCATAGCATACATAGTATTAATATTTCTTTTAGATAATTACACAATTTGGGAAATATAAAATAACAACAATAATTCAATCGACTCTGGACTCCAATCCGGACCTTTATCTTAACCAGCAAATTTGTTTGGGGCTACAGTTATTTAAATCTGGCTAGTCAAGGCTCTGTCTGTATGGTAAACCGGACTTTTCCCTGGTCATATGCCTTCTATTCACTAGCAAAATCTACGTCTTTGTACACCAGCGGCGTCGGTTACTATTCTGGTGTAGTGCTGATGTTTATACAGTCTTAACTACTCTATAGGAAACTCTATGGTTAACGGTTCACCAGTCGCTGTGTTCTTACCCAGGTAGATTCACTACACCTGATCACTTGTTACCTATACTAATGCATTACTTTACTTTGTCCTGGTCACCTGTAGTGTGTTTGTTCTGACGTAAGGTGATGATTAACTTATCTTACTGCAAGCTATAGTATATCGCTAAATTACTGCAGTATTGTTTAATTATCATCAATACAAATACTTTGTATACATAAAATAAGATATCGTATTTAATCAAAACACTTTGGATTACATGAGCGCATACACAATTTGTGTATCATCCTGTTAAACTTTGTGCATTTCAATTTAAATTTATTAACATTTATAACGTTTATAATATATATATATATTAACTTTATAAAACATGACTTGATTTTTATGAAATAAATTTTACAGTCTGAAACACAGAACTCACGTGGGGCATATTGACTTTATATGTACATCTACGAGGCATAACTGTGACAAGAAAAATCTGGAGTACGGAATTGATCTGTTTACCATCAAATCCTCTGGTAATTGGGTCTCTGCCAAGTCCTTGTCAACTGCGTTTTACGAATCAGAATAATATTATTGTTGAGTACATGTATCGGTATTTAAAATGAAAGAAACTACATTTGTATGAATGATTAAGCGCCTATATATAGCTATTTTAAACTTAATATTCTAAACACTGTTTAATTGGTTTTAAATAAAACAGTATTACAACATGCTGCTGACAGTTGAATGTTTTTATATGTATTATATACTTGTACACTTCAAGTGTACGAAAACGAAAACAAATCAGAGACAGTAACAAAATGTAATGCAGTAAAAGCAAGAAATATCCAAATCTTTTAAAAATAAACTAGAACCGTAAGCCAAAGGCTAACTAATACTCCCCGCTCCTATATAAACCATACCTGTAAGCTAAAGGCTTACTAAGGCAAAGCATTGCAAAGTAATCCATAGTCTCCCACCAGTAATGCTTTCTTCATTCACCGAGCGGTACAGTCACTTATTTAAGTACATAGTTCACTGACATACTTCATGTACACCCTCCCAACGCCAAAACATACTTGTAAACCAAATCTTGTGAGCCCAGACGAACGAATTTTGATGAAATCGTCCTAGTAGTTAAAGACGATATTTCAGGATAAAGATATTTAAACAAAGGGCCTTAACTCCTTAAAAAGGGTCAAATGAAAAAATACTACCCCGTCATCACGACAGCAGGGGATGATTACCATATCTGTAAACATTCGTTCAATCGGCTAAATAGTTAAGGAGGCAGATCAAGGTTTTTTTTCAACAAAGGGCCGTAACGCCTTTTAAATGGGTCGGAACGAGTACTACTTGGATGAACAACGTCAGAGGCAGAATTGGCCAAGTAGATTAGGAGAATCTGTCAAGAGACAAAGGGCCATAACTCCATAAAAAGGGTTGAAAAAATACGTGGATGCACAACATGAGCGGGAAGTTATTATATCTGAAAACGTCCCTTGAAATTTGCCACATAGACTTGGAGGAGTTGTCTGGACATGTAATTTTCAACTTAGGGCCATTACTTCGTAGAAAAAAGTCAGATTGAAAAATAAATACCTGGATGCACAATATCAGGTCGTAGTGAAATTGGCCAAGTAGTTTTGGAGAAGTTTTGCTGACAAGGATTTTTCAACAAAGGGCCATAGCTTTGTAATAGAAGGGTAAGAATGAAAATAATACCTGGATGCACAAATTGAAGTGGCAGTTATTATATCTGGAAAGTTTCGTTGAATTTGGTCCATTACTTTAGAAGGAGTTGTCCGGACAAACTTTTTTTACGGACGGACGGACGGACGGACAGACAGACAAGCTGATTCCAGTATACCCCCTTACTTAGTTTCAGGGGGTATAAGAACACTATGACAAGCACAGCAAACAATGTCAACAGTAGTCGAAAGGTAAACGGCACCTGTATTCTATAGTCTAGATTTCTGCTCAATTACCAATTTATTTGACGACAACGTCGTTATTAGTATACATAGAAAAAGGTTAGGACATCTAAACCGTGTTTTGTTATGACTTCACATAGAAACCGCTAGTGCACCAAACCAGGAAGAACCTATATTTAACCCTGGTTTACCGAGTTCTGTCTGATCGGCTGAGCACAATCAACACTGATATAGGATCTGCAAAAACATAGACAAACACTGTTTAAATCTCTAATACATTATTCACAATAATATCCAATATAGCAATCTCACTAACGCGTCTGTATCGATTCATAACCATACAAATTGGTCATGTATGAAAACAAGCCTATCAGCTTTAATTTCATTGCTAAGCCTCCTGTCATTGAATATAATATTCCAGTCTCCACTGATAATATATTTTGCATATCACCATCGAATAATTATACACAAGGTCCTTTTCCAAGTATTGGGAATTCAGTTTTTTAATAATGAATTACGTCATTATAGAAATATGTTATTTTAGAATTTCCATTTATTGAAGACTTAGTCATTGTGTTTTAATATGCAACTGGAGAAATGCGCAAAATCTTTCAGTTGACGGGATTGACATACTTTAAAATAGAAAAAGAAACAAAGAATATAATCAAATTGATCGAAAGCTCATCAGAGTTCTTCAAAATTCTCTTTCCACTTATTCCAATTATTGCGTCATTAGTGTCACTATACGACTTTATCATGAAAAAATATGTTACTAAGAAAGACCGCGAGAAGTTTGAATAATGGATCTGTTTTGCAGCTCGAAAATATAAACAGATTCCTGTGAAGTATTGGAATCCAGTACATAACGAAAAAGTCTATATCTTTATCATTAGTGGGTATTCAGAGCCTTATCATTAGTGAGTAATCGGAGCCTTATCATTAGTGAGTATTCGGGGCCTTATCATTAGTGAGTATTCAGAGCCTTATCGTTAGTGAGTATTCGGTGTCTATCATTAGTTAGCATTCGGTGCTTTATCATTAGTGAGTATTCAGAGCCTTATTATTAGTGAGTATTCGGAGCCTTATCATTAGTGAGTATTCGGGGCCTTATCATTGGTGAGTATTCGGGGCCTTATCATTAGTGAGTATTCAGAGCCTTATCATTAGTGAGTATTCGGTGCCTATCATTAGTTAGTATTCGGTGCCTTATCATTAGTGAGTATTCAGAGCCTTATCATTAGTGAGTATTCGGTGTCTATCATTAGTTAGTATTCGGTGCTTTATCATTAGTGAGTATTCAGAGCCTTATTATTAGTGAGTATTCGGAGCCTTATCATTAGTGAGTATTTGGTGCCTTATCATTAGTGAGTATTCGGAGCCTTATTATTAGTGGGTATTCGGGGCCTTATCACTAGTGAATATTCGGTGCCTTATCATTAGTGAGTATTCAGAGCCTTATCATTAGTGAGTATTCGGTGTCTATAATTAGTTAGTATTCGGTGCCTTATCATTAGTGAGTATTCAGAGCTTTTTTATTAGTGAGTATTCGGAGGCTTATTGTTAGTGAGTATTCGGTGCCTTATCATGAGTGAGTATTCGGAGCCTTATCATTAGTGAGTATTCGGTGCCTTATCATTAGTGAGTATTCGGAGCTTTATCATTAGTGAGTATTCGGAGGCTTATTG